GTCTCTGAAGCTGAAATGTGGTGTTTTATTATCGTGATAAATGCCGATATGTCGTGCAGATAACTTTGAGAAGTATTCAGTATTTTGTGCATCAAAGAATAAGCATCATTTAATCTGTTTCAGCTGACAATTGGCGTTGATATATATCTGATTTATCTATTTGAAGTTTTCTTGCAGGTCTGGAAAAGAATAACATTGGTTCTGGAAGATATAGCAATTACTGTCAAGACTATTCAGACTAACCACTGGCTCATATCGATGTGGAAAAATATGTGTGCAGTCATTGGGCGAAAATTGAACGTTGTCATCGATGGCATTGTCAGGTGACACGCTAGTAAGCTACGTAACACTATACAGTAACAGTGATCGTCTGCAAGTCAACTTACCAGTATGCCGTCAGTCGCGTGGTGACAACTTTGCTCATTAACTCTCGGTAGTTTCCGGAATACGAGTAGGTTTTATCGTTTTTGTCACAAATATTGCCTTCAGAATGTTTTCCTTCAAGCCACTTGTTTTAATAGACTTTATAAATGAGTTAATCCCACATTTATAGTTTACTGTAAATTTCCTTTAAGAGCAGCTCGGTACCCAGCGAGTAGACTTGTTCACCACAAATAATCAAAGGGAAATATATTATGTATAATTCATAGCACTGCATCGTCATGACCCTAAAGCCTGGCGACGAATGTACTGGCCCGATGAATGTCAATTCCTATGTCTACAGGCAACTCACAGGACTTCTCGCGTCCGCCACACCTAATACTGGCCATGCACACAGTCCAGGGAACAGTTCCATTTGTTGGCTGGCCCGGTATGGTGTGGTGATGATTTTCCAACATTTCAGACTCGACGGAGTAACTGTGCAAGGCGGATTTTTCGGCATGTCGTTAACTTCCACAAATATAAATGTGTTATTTTATTCAGTCGCGCTTTCGTACAGCTGGAGTTATAAAATACAGTACATTCATCAGTTTGTCTTTTGCTCTCTTTAATCTTTTATTGGGTGTCGTATTTCTTCTATCCACTAATTACTTGTTGTGCACAGTGATAAAGAGTACACTTGAATGTCGGGTGAAAATAACAGATTGGATTTTATCCTTAGATCCAGATAAAAGGAGTGCCGATATGTAATGTTTCATTATCTATTTCAATGTAACAAATATACGAATATAAGATTAAAGTGTTTCTTTTATATAAATGGTTGTAAAATATATGTCAAACAAATATTGGACTATTCGAATCTAATTTAAGATAACAAAACGCTTTAAAAGTCTTTAAAGTATGTTGGACATTGTTCTACTTTTATATATATCTGATGTTGAATCATTTGTAATCCACTGCGTGTTGTAATATATGTATTGTATACGTATTTTTGTATCTGACATGTATTCAAATAGGCTTTGCGCCTGTTGCAAGTGATATATATTTTTACACCGACATGTCGCTTCTAATTGTAATAAAGAAGTTGTTCATCCATAAATCTTATTCTTACTTATGTTTTACTGTCCTTTAGTCAACAATTTATGTATTTTTAATGTTCTCGTCACGATACGGCTGAAATATTGGCTATGTGTGTGTCGTTAAATTTTAACTTACTCACTCAAACTGAAACAAAAAGACAATGGTTATGCCTGTTCGAATCCCAGATGTTTGGGATGGCAAGTTTATGCTATATTATGAAGTAGCTGTGCTCCACCCTTTCAATGCCTGTGATGTGTGGTTGTAAAGTATGTTGGTAATATTGAAGCAATGTTCGATCACAGAAAGCACCATACTTTGTTTAATGGATATTATCCGTGTTCCCTAAAATCCTATCGACAACCCACTCAAAACATTGGACCCAACCCATCTCGCTTCGCTCAATATATTCACTAACATCAAAGCGGTTGGCGTTTGATTTCGCCATAGTAGAGAGGAGATAACATTCTGTGCCTTCAAGGTCGAGCTACATGTTGGTTACCCGTAGATGTAACCGTGCTGTACATTGTTATCTCTGAATACACAAACCATTCATGGTCATTCATTTGGCAATTAGTCTTCTATTATTGTGATCAAAGTTGATTGGACCACAAAGACAGATTCCAATTCCTACATTCCATTAAGTTAATTAGAACTGCTGTAAACAGGAAAGATGTTTAGAAATATCCCGGAAATTATCTTTATTGTTCAAGCAAAATTGGGCGTGCATGCAGACCATGCTGACTTCTGTGCATTGAAAACCTGCTGCTGGATAGGGTAGACGTGTATGTAAATAGAATACGTTCATGTAAGTCTATTTGCTTTAATTTCAAGAAAGATCGCGATACTCGTTAAAATGCAGGAATCGCCGATGTCGGAGATATATTCAAACTATAGTCTCATTTCCCATGCAGTCAAACATGATAATCATCACTACCGGCGACAGGAAAAGGAAGCATGTGTTCGGAAATTCAATATGATTTGAAACTCAGAAATAGATTCACGTGTGAGTATAACACTATTATACATTTTTGAAGTTATACATTAACGAATTTTTGTTATTTGGGGACATCTAGAATGTATGTATGTGAATGTATTTCACATGTAGCGGAACATCTGTATGATACAATCATGAATGTTATAATCTCTATATCATCCTCAGTTTAATGTTACATTAGCGGTAGTGAAGAAGTATTTGTATATTAAAAAACCGTTTCGAGGAGCTGATTCACGGTAATTGCGTCAGCAGTGGAGGGTGTGAAATCAATCTCTAAGTTCATGAGAATCATTTGAAGATTTTATCAACACCCAGTCATCATTCCATACTTAATCATGTACATAATAATAATGTATACAGTCTTCGGTAGTATGGAATGGTTGTCCGGATAATCGTAACCCTCGTGGCGATTCCGGGGAAAATATGTCCCCAGTACCCCTCATGTCGTGAGGGTCAATTGGATTACCAGGCTGTGTGACATGGCTTAGTTCGTGTTATCGCAATCCGATGGTGGGGATCATTGCTCATGCCTAAATCACTGTTTGTTGGACAAAATCGAATTATTTACAGGAGCCGTGGTATAGCCCAATAGCTAATACGTTCGATCGTCACGCCGAAGGCTCGGAATAGTTCCCCAATACAGGTACAAGGCGAGGACCAACTCAGATAGAATTAGTGGATAGAGCGTTTGCCCGGAGAGCGAAAATTTGTTGTTATCCTGTCTTGCGCTCGGCATTAAGGGGCTAAAACTGGTCGGCGCGGAGTAATATAACGTGTTTGAACGGAATATTCATGTTAAACTGCAGCATGGTATCTCAGTGGGCTAGCACTTTTAACTCGGCATTAGTCCGTACGGGTACGCACGCACGCACGCACGCGCACACGCACACACACGTGCATGCACGTCGCTATATAGTGCAATAATCCTATATGCGACGTTAAACCCCATTTCACCTTACCTATAATGCGAAAACCCTGTTTTCACCTCTACAAAGTAACGCCCAAAGCATCCAATCATGAACGATTTGTTTGTCATTTGGGAAATTGGCTTTATGGTACATTTAACTTCAATTTCAATTTCCTAGTGACGAAAACTGTGTCACCCCCGTAATATCAAATAATATTTCTATCCTCCAATAAATACCAAAGTTACAGCTGACCCAATGTGACAACTAAGCTGAGCGCAACCACGACGTAGAAAAATAGCAATGATCAAGGGAAGTCGAATTAGAAACCGTTAAACGTTGGTATTGATTGGTTATTTACAGCGTTATACCTCAGGTCAATCATGAAGTATTACATCCCTCCTCAAAAGAAGAAAAATACATTCAACTTACGTTTAACTGCAAAAGGCACTGTCATCTTTCGTTTTTGACTACACATTACTAATTAATATACAACACATTACTAATAATATACAACACATTACTAATTGCTCCTTTTATAGCATAAAAAAGTAACATGATATACATGTATGCATATATGATTTTAATTTTAATTCCCATTGATTATTATCTACATGGCTTCTGCCCGTAGTTGCCAGATATACTGTTGTAGTTGTATTCACACTACTCTGGACAAGACTTGACAAGAATCAGTTGCACTGATTAATCATGCAAAACTAACCATCTTAATAAATCTTTGTACGGTGAACACTCACGTCTGTCAACCGATAAACCAAGCACCGTCATTATTTTGAGAACAGCTTTTATATAACAGCCGCACACGTGGATCATTCGGGCATTGCAAATCGCTGTGCAGAGCCGCACCTTTAGGCAAACCAAACACCTATAGTCGTTTTACAATGTAGGCTTTAGGTTTCGTAGCACAATTCCCGTACTCGTGGGTTTCACCAAAGTGGCCTGCATCACTTCAATCTTTCCAACCACATCTGGCTGACACGCCGTGATTTACCTGAAATACATTATATTTAATACAACATTCCCACTTTTTATTCCAGTTCTAGCAAGAAGTGTCACGACAGAAACACAAATATAATTTAGATTTGATTAATTGATGTAAAAACACATTCAGATATCGTTTTGGGTCTGATGAAGATTAGTAACAGTAGAGTTTATTGTAGGACAATGGTGCCATTCTTCAAAGGAAAATAGGACACACATGCAAATGTGATACATGTCGTCATATATGTGAACTAAACTGCTAGGCCAAAGAAGTATTTATTTGAAAATTGGATTGGACCAAAAACAAACGTTATCAAAACGTTATTGGGCTGTAAACAGTCGCCGAAACACTGCAAAAGTGAGGCCCAAACCACGTCTGTGATACCCGCATACAGCAATCACCATCAAATATCGATTTGTTTTGGTAACATTTTAGCCACCATCAAACATTTGTGTATTATGACCACATGAAAGAGGACTTGACTGGCATCGGAGCACTAATTGATGCGCTACTGCATGTGAGCCAAATTAATGTTAATGAATTAAATATAAGTAATGACAGTAATACAGCCTAGTCCATCAAACGCTAATTTAAACGAACGGCACAACTCTCATAAAACATTATTTTTTTGTTTTTGCAGGATTCGCGATGTCATGGAGCACACAGATAAGAGTTTAAGGTGACACCCCTCTTGGTATTCTGGACAAACACAATGGACATGACCTCAGAGGACATGATGAAGGAAGACACCATATTTTGTTCGTTAAGATTAATATTCTTCAATGAAGAGAACTGATCAAACTTGTTGAGTATGGCATCGTATTCAGTCTTTAACATCAACACTGTTACAGTGCCTACAGTGACTACAGTCGATCCTGCAACTTCCACTCACCTACCCGCACTTGGATACAAAGTCATTGGTTCAATCTTCACCACTGTTTCAATTTTCGCTTTTTTCGCCAACGGATGCGGATTACTGGTGTTCCTCAGAAATAAGACACTACGCTCGCCGACAAATCTATTCATCATGTCGCTAAGCATCTGTGACATTCTGATGGCACTTTGTTCAAGTATGGCATGTGCAGCCAGTTTTAGCCATGGGTGGGTGTTTGGTGATGTGTTCTGTGTTCTTGAAGGATTCATGGTGTACTTCCTAGGCCTTACCTCCATGTACCTTCTGGCCGCCATATCAGTTGACAGATACATTGTGATGTCGAAGCCACTTATGTCCTATAAGATTACCCATCGTGTCGCAGCTACCGCTATCTTCGTGTGCTGGGGGATGGGCTTCTTCTGGGCAGCTCTTCCTCTGGTAGGATGGAATCATTATAGCTTGGAAGGGGTCGGGATTTCTTGTAGTATTGTATGGCAGAGCGAAGACCCCGTCAACTTCAGCTACATCATCGTCATCTTCTCCTTCTGCTTTATCTTCCCCTTGTGTCTCATGGCCTTCTCCTACTATCATGTTTACATGACGGTGAGTTGGGGATGTGCACTCAATAGCAAACACAACTTGACCGTGTTCATATTCATCATGTGAAATATTTAGAGCTCAACCCCATTTATAACGTACTGATGTTTGCTAGGGCCGAAAAGTTTTCCAATCGTTTTTCCAAACATTTCATAATTTCAAATTCTGAGTATACCAAGCAAACTTCTTTCGAAAATGTCTTGTTTGACTTTTTCTTTTTGAGCTGTACAAAAGTTAAAAATGGAAGGCATCTTCTGGTTGGCTTTCTTCTCTTTCCATGGCACGCTTTAGAGCGGAATCAAGCTACCCTTGTAAATAAAGCTGCAAAACCCTTTCCATATCAAATAGGAATCTGCACAAAGATTGTACTACTCCGACTACATCATGAGCATGTGTTTATGTGTTTATGAATCATTATCAAATAGTAATGATACCAGGTGTTCGCAAAAGGGTGAGCATATCCTGCCCTACTTGTAGCACCGTCACAAACACATGCAAAGGCAAGTAACCTGAAAACACAAGGAACATATGGTACAAGTCAAAATAGGGAATTGCATTGTCAGTTTTGTCAAATTTGGATATGTCCCCCACATGTCTACCATCAAACATTTTGAAAGCTTTACTGAGGCCTTGAATGTTGTAACCTTGATCAAACAACTTCTAAGTAATAGTGTCATGACAAGTGACTGCTGTTTCCAATAATCAATCTGTAAGACCAGAAAATCGTAATAACTATATTTATTATTTAGCAGATAACAGCCAATTCATTATCACTTTTACTATTTCCTATTTATATATTGTATATATAATTATGAAATTTTTATGTTAGCGCGTAATAGTCAGTTGGACGACTCAACGCATACACAGAAATAAGGACTTTAATTGTATTGCCCAAGTTGTAAACGAGTGGGAGTTGGAGTGTAGCTGCCCTTAAAGGCAGGTTCCAATCATATTTACTCAGTTTATGTCAATGATGAAATCATAAACGTCCCTGTTGTCGAACAAACAGTTAGAGATACTGTCATGTTTTGTCTGCATTCATAGGTTATGTTGAAGTCAAACAGAAGTCTTTCTTATTACATATTATGTCCATTATGAACACGAGACAAAACCGCGTAGGTGAAATCAATCCACACTTGTGTGTGTGGTACATTGCACTCAATGTCATCAGTAGAACTTCAAGTATAGACGCGTGTTGGGTTCCCAATACTGATACCCGAGCCCCTACAACACAGCAAAGGCGCAGAGATATGATTAAATATATGCCTTAATGATGATGCCCCAACGACATGAAAAAGGCAAACTGGCATCTCTCGGAGGAGTAATGCAAGTATTAACAAAAAGACGATGTCATCTACATGTCCCGCCAATTGTCCAATATAAAAGACAATGATATGTGGAATCAAATGTGACATTGTAGATTATCAGTTTGTCCACCTGCTTGTAAAAGAGATAAATATCCATAAAACTTTGTACAATTATCTGCTCTAGTAAAACTGTAATGATAAACAAAGGTTAAAATCATCTTCCATTATGTGAAGGCATAGGATATTTTGTATCTTTGAGCACTGCACAAACTCACTCATTTTGATATCATGAATTGGATTGTAGGCAGGTATTGTGGCAGCCCTACCCTTTACGGGTAGTTACCAAATTAAGGTACACGGTACAGATGAGGTACAAAAGCTGTGAGCGTGCTGATCCCTCAAAACATGGTGAATTTCTAATACCTCTACTATGAATCGTTTTATAGCTTTGTTTGTTGCATGGTCTACAGGTGTGCCACTGAATTGAAAGAAGAAACTATGAAATAATTTTTAAAAATTTAAAGAACAAAGATACGGTTTTAGACTGATAGTGTACAAAGTTCGCTGAGAAGTACATAAAAGAACTGAGGTACAAATTGTTAAGATTCAATTCAAATCAAGTCTAAATTTATAAGATTTATATAATTACGAAATAATTGGGAGAATCATAAGGCACTTCTACACTATGTTGTGAATGTGCTTACCAAGGTTCTTAAAACTATCTCTAAAATAATGACGAACGGATGATGAGCAAAGTAACACGAGGCGGGAATGGAACATTGGGTATAAGAGATTTCAATAAATCGTGGATAGGTTTATTACAGAAGTGATAGATTCAGCTTACATGTTGACATACAATCAAGAGATCACAACTGACACATCAAGATGAGTTCAGAACAAAAGAGGTGTTAGTTTGAGTATTACTTGGAGTGAAGGGTCTGGATAAACACAAAGTGTAATAATAAGTTAACATAACATACACTGATGTGTGAAACGGTTATGATGGATTAAAGGGATTTATAGGGTAAGTCAAAATTATTCGGACAGATTTGGGGTCATGGTTGGATGTTTAACCGGGATCGAAAAACCGATACACTGCAGGACAAAAGAAAGTATCTACATGGAAAATTGATCGAACCAAACAATTACAATTACCATACATTATTAGGCTGAAAAAGTGGCTGGCACGCTGCAAATTTAAGGTCAAAACTGAAATATGATACCTGTATCAAATACATCACCATCGAATTACAACTTCCTGAAGTTTCATTTCTAACCAGCATAACGATGGTGCATACTTTCTTTTGCCCGACAGTTTACTTATATTGAATGATTGTTCTATTCATACTTAGTTGTATAACAAACCGATCTATTGGTTAAAGGGTTGCAATGAATTGATTACTATCAAACCGCCTTGAAATTGATAGTACAGCGTTGACTCAGGCGAAAACTAAAATTCACTTACTAACGCATACGTTCTTTGATACAATTGTAACAGCGAGATAGACCGTTCAATCAAGTGAAAAAAGTAATATTTCCCAGGCAATATCATCCTTATCTCAGCTTCATAGTCCAAGAAAGGCGAGTATTTAACGCTGGATGGTATGACATTGTTACATTATTCTTACGTTAACATGAACATGCATGAGCGCTAAATCCCTTTATGTCCGATGTTCAAAAACGTTGTCAGTTCTGTACAGCTTGTTATCGGTAATATGTCAGATGAAACTACACATGCATATTGCGAAGATTACAATGTCTCCCAAGCGTCCCAAAGGCTGCTGCGTTCAGTACCGTCGAATTGGTTTCCTATAATGGAATTCATCCAGAGATTGTACACACAGGCTGAATAGAGGTCTAAAGAAAATCTGCTCATTTGATCAGATCATGGGACTATAAATTAAACGTGTCTATGCTGGCTATGCGTTACTTTAAAACAACAACGTTCATACACACAAACACAATCCCCAAAGAACTATTGAGGTTTAATTTTAATTGAAGATTGTAAAGGTAATATACTATCAAATCCTATTATTCAAATAACAGAAATGTGTATGTGGTATTTACACATACAGTGTATTTGCTTGTTCAGTAAATTAACAATAATTCAATTTCACATTTTCATTTTAGATCCGCAATATTGCAAAATGTAATGTGTGGAACTCAAAGAGTCGAGTGGCAAGAAAGAATCTCAAACTGGAAAGAAAATTGTTCAGAACATGTTTACTCATGGTTTGTAAGTATATAAAATGAAGTATTAATAATAATAATGAGTCCATTTGTATGGCGCCAAACTCCATACCAGCTCGTGTGCTCATGGCGCTTACATATTATTACCCCGGTCAATGGATCAATGAGCACTCGATTTTGATTCTCAGCTCCTTGGGGACTATACAACCCAAGCTGCCTGTGAGGCGCTAGGTTAATAGCCACATTACCATCTCATCCAACCGGGTACCCAGTCACTGCTGGGTGAACAGATGCACATTTCGAACAAAGCCACTTGCCTAAGGACACCACATGTGGTACATGTGCTTCAGTGTGGGGCAGGACCGAAGCCCTAGAAACCCTCAAGCTGTCAAGCTGCTTAACGGGGTCACCCATCCAACTACTCTCAGACCGACGTTGCATAACTTCACCTGATTTGTGATCTGTGCGCTGTGCACAGGACCACCTGCCTCGTGTCAAGTATTACCAACTGTATATCGAATGAGAGAGTGAGTATGGGTTTACGTCGCTTTTAGCTTTCTTCCAGCAATATGGCGGCGAAGGACACCATAAATGAACACGCCTGAGCCCCGGGTTCGATTCCGCACATGGGTACAATGTGTGAAACACATTTCTGGTGTCCTCCGCCATGATATTGCTGGAATATTGCTAAAAGCAGCGTAAAATCTCACTCCCTCCCTCGCATATTGTTTCCATTTATAATGTTCAAAACGTTCATCAAGATGTGGTCTTGGACGACTGTTTGATTATTATCATTTCTAGTTTGGTGACTGCTTCATTTCTACCAATCGTATCATTTGGGGCACCCTTGTGTTGCGATTATGAAGTTAAATGTGGTGAAAGAAACTATAAAGTTTATCCATCAATTGCCATTTACTTTCTTCTGTTTTAGGTATGTATCTGTTGTCATGGCTGCCATATACAATCGTATCGTTCATGTCGGCGTTTGGTGCAGCTAAGATTATTTCTCCGTTAATGGCCACAGTTCCAGCCCTTGTTGCTAAGTGCTCAGGGTTATGGAACCCTGTGATTTACATAGCCACAAATGCTCAATTTAGAATTGCTCTCTATGAACTCCTACCCTGCTCGCCATTGAAGAAGGACCTTGATAACAACACTGACGCGAGACTGGTGTCTTCTGAAGATAGGACATACAAAACAAGGTCTGGATTCTCCTGTGAAAAGAAAACCAAAGCCGGTCAAATGTTTGATCTAACTTTAATGAAGGATCAAATTCCTGTCGATCAAACTGTTGTGGAAGAATTGTCGCCAAGGGTGTCGCCTGTGAATGGTAGATGTGTGAGAATTGAGCTGTCCGACCTGGGTATGGGAAATAAGGCGGACATTTGAGTCCAATGTATAATACAGAAGTTGATCAAAAAGTTATTCCTTACTTTAATTAAGGAAATAATATTATATCATGCCACTTGTAACGTTGTGCCTATTGAGTTTTTACACTGGTTACATTTTTACATTCCATGTATATGAAATCGAATCACTATATTCCTGTGACCTGCTTAAGGTACCAATTGTCAACGGTACGCACAGACATGTAAGTCTGCAAAGGTTACACATTATGCTGAACCTTTTTTTTTTCATTTTACATGAAATTAACACTCTCGTTATATTTCTATTGTAGCTATAAATATCCTTCAACCACGATGTGGTAATTTGCTCACATCCATTATTTTCGAATGGTGTTCTGGTGGTAGTCTGTACCCCCGACCCAAGATCCTTGAGAATAAATTTAAAAACCGCACCCAACTCAAGTCTAGAATGATTTGGCAAGTCTAAATTGCCTCAGCCTTGAAATTAAGCATTGATCTCAGCTCAAATTTGGATTTGTGTTGTATTTTGTAGATAATTTTGTTTTTTTAGATAAGATGACTGTTGCATTAGATAATAACGTTTTAATGCCCTTATTTTGGAAGCACAATCAATGTATACCTTGATTAACTTAAATAATGCATATAAACTGCCATTAAATTCAGCGTTCGTATTGAAATATCCAGAATAGTCTTTGTGTTCAAATTTCTTCTTTTTTCAACTCTAAAACATTAATCAATCTCCATTCGTATTATAGAACAGTGAAACACGCATTAGCTTATTGATTAAATTTCATGGAAATCTCAAACAGATAAGAAATGCAAATAATTCAAAATTCGAATGCAAAAAATATATTCGTAGGAAGGGAAGGTTAATATATATTATCGGATTCTCTTCAGCATTTGTCGTTTGGTCTTTTGGATAACAGAGAAATGCATGTATAACGATAGGTGGTTTCCATGTCATAGGCTCAAAGTGTCTTCACTACAATATGTGTATACAGAGGGTCGTAAGCTCAAAGTGTTTTCATTTACATGTGTATACATTAGGTCGTAAGCAAAGATATCACTGTGAGGAGCTTGTGTTTGTCACATTGGAGATATACAACGTTATCGGTGGACAGCAAACCAAGTCTACAACGATTTCGCTGGAAAGAACTCCAGTTAAAACCGTCAGATTGCATCGAATGGGGCATCTATATAGCTGGGATCCGACTGTGCACATGAAAGTCATTGTTCCAATGACCAATGCAAACGTGGTATTACCTCATGAGATTATAATGTATTTACGTGTGTGTGTGTGTGTGTGTGTGTGTGTGTGTGTGTGTGTGTGTGTGTGTGTGTGTGTGTACATGCGTGCGTGCGAGCGTGCGAGTGTGCGAGCCTGCGTGCGTGCGTGCGTGTGTGTACTCAATTTTGATTTTTTTTTTATAATGGGGATGGTCACAGAAGACTTTACCCTTACTTAATTTAACGATATGTTAAAGTTCATATTCGTATATTTCTTCAAGTGTAAAAATCAACATTGTCCAATATACAATATGTTTTAAGAAAGTCGTTTTTTATGTCCATGTGCGACGTGATGACATTTGTGTGTTGGCATTGACCATTTGATTGTTATCCTGTTGAAATCATACCTTATGTTATGTTGTACACTTAACAGTTGAACATAAAGTTGTATTGTCTACTGAGGATATTTTGTTGATATTTGCTATGTTTTCGATCTGTGTTTTACGATTTAGAAGATTGTCAATATGTATCAATGTCATATATTAAAAAAAAAAAGCACATGTCTATTTCTCCGTTACGTGAAACCAAAAGGGGAGGTAAGGTTCTGGTAAAATTTAGCAGTCGAGTAAACCCCAACATGTATCAATGCATCAATTTGGTGATTACCATAATAACACACATATGTCTCCGTTTGACACTTATTATTGCACACACCCTATAGACCTCGACCTACACGTAGAGCACAAGTTCATGGATCACTGTTTCCCTTTAATGTGGTTCAGAATAATATGAAAGGACAAGATGATGGATCAGGTCGGAGACTTTACCTTTTGCAGGCTAGGATCATACCCGTATCCTAGGCCATATAAACTGACGTCCAAATATAACTTTACAACTTTAAAAAGGAAACTGCACAATTTAAAAAAACACTAGTTCAAACTAACTAAATGAATACAAAACACATCGTCCAAACACAACAATGCTCTATGCAGAAAGTTATACACGTCCGTGGCAGGAACGTTGTGGGTTTTTTTTAAATGCGAAAAAATGAAAAACAAGTGCCGCTTGGGCAGCTGAAACTACGCGTGCAATGAGGGTATATACATAATACGGACTGCATGTCACACACTGACACTGATAAACAAAAACTCCACAGAAATGGCACGCTCACACCCGAACAACGTGAGCAGGCCCTGGGTATGATGATGCAGATGGGAGCAACCCATGTCCACATTGATAGAACCTTTGGTTGCTCCGTTGTAGCTGTAACTAACCTGATGCTATAATGTACGTCAGGCAGGCCAACAACGGGCGGACCCAGGGTAACTACGCCCAATGAAGGCCTCTAATTGCGTACTTTGCATCTGCGGAATCGCTTCCTGACAGATACGTCATCTGCGACGAATGCCTAAGGGCATATGGTTAGTCGACAGACAGTGGCCATGCGATTCAGGACACAGGGAATTAGGACTTACAGACCTTACAGAGGCACAGTTATTGACAGGGCAACATCGTCGGCAGACATTGGGATTAGGGACAGGCTGTACGTGACTGGCAGAGGGTCTTTTACTGATGAAAGACGGTTCTGTCCAAACATCATATTGAGATCCATGCTAAGAGTGGCTTGCGCGACCACCATTACCAGCAAATCTGTGTCTGTATCAGTCCACATCTTGAGTGCTTTGATTGACAGTCAGTTGTCCGACTTCAAATTTGTTGATGAGTTGTGTAATTAGTCTATCCTTGATTTTGCCATTACCCAGAAAAGTCTTTGATGTAGTCGGTTTCATTTCCAGTTCAAAAGCCATATCAGTAAATGTATTCTGTCATGCTCTGGTGTTAGGCAGCTTTTGTTGAGGAAGCATTGCCAAATCCATAAGACACCACTATGGTCTCTAGTCCATTGTGATCATGTACATAGAACACACAATGGTCTCACACCTGGCCGTAGGTGGCATCAATGGGCCAGGGTAAGTTTTGGAACAGGTGGCCATCGTCAGGGATGAAGCATGAACCATCAGGAAGATCATCGACATTGACCTGAGATGAGCACACTTCCAAGGACACTCTTTGTGTTTTTACTCATGATGCCTTTCTCGAATAAGGAGGGTCGTAAAGAAGATATGATTCCATTTCATATAAAGCTATCCTTTATCACACATGTGGCCCTCATGAATAATAATGTTGAGTTCACTTGTACCTATACTCCACGCACAGTGATCTGGTTCTTGTCACCACTAATGCTGGTCACTCGATCTTTCCTCTTCAGCCTTATGTATGCATATATTTGACCAGTTATTGCTGACGTTGACTGGATACCGAGTGAAATTGCTTGATCTTCATTACCACATTTACCAGAACAACGCCACTTGTTATACATACCACGGAGTCGTGCTCTCCATATGAGAAAGGGGAGCCAGTGTAGAAAAGTCTCATAGTCTTTGGTATCCCTGGTTGTACTACTTCCTTGCAAGTCCATATGTTGCTCAGACGTTTGACTGAGTGTTTTAGAGAATCTTTCAAAGGTATTACAGACTGAAATGCATCGGGGCGTGGTTTGCACCCATTTGGCGATTGTGCTGTCTGTGATTCCTCGACCATGGGACAATCCCCGGTGTGCTCTGCTCGGTTGAAGCGTTGAATGATGGACACTTGATTCAAATATTCATTCCAGAGTTTACCTGTTAAGAGCAAACAAAATAATTGTCATGGCAACAACACTGTTACATCGATGTTAAGATCGATAGACATAACAAAATTAATAATAATCATAAGTAATTTGATAATGCGCTAGATTCCATTCACCAAGTTAATGGACAGACCAAATGAAAATGGAGATTAGTCTTATGAAGTATTGTTCAGTCATTATGACACAGTATTAACAAGTACATGAAATCTTTCCATAACCAGTCGTAAATCGTCTGAAAAATTCAAATTGTATTATATATTATTATAGATTTTAATTGGCTGGTATGACTACAAATGTAGGTGATAAGCTTCGATAACTGGAGGAATGTTGAAAGCCGAACTATTTATTGAAAATATTACTTTATTTGGTAAACTTTCTGCTCAGCTATGTGGTAACTACAAATACTTATTTGTATTCTTAGTTCACGAAGCTATGATATCCTGAGACAGAGTCAAGCATGGACGTTGCGTGGCCTTTTCTTTGACTCTATGGGCGTTGGCTAACGGGAATTTTTGTGGGTTTACGCTTACATGTACCAGATTGCGTGTATTTTGCTCCAGACTGTTTTAGCATTTGTTTTTTCGTTTAGGGATTTTCAGAAGGCCTGCAATGACTCGTTTTTAGAATCGTCTATGAGCTCTCTTACTTTTGTCCTGGCTGCTCGGACTTTGGCGAAGGCTGATTTATCCCTTTTTGACCTTTTTAGGGCTTTCTTTCTCACTCTCCTATCTTTTGCTATTTCCCTGTTCCACCATGGTACAGGAGTTTGCCAGTTTTGTGGTCTTTTGAGGGAATTGATTTTTCAGCTGCGGCAATAATTGCTGAGGTGAGATTTTGGCAAAAAAGATCAGGATTATCCGAAGCAATTTCTGAGAATTTGAATGAAAAACATTCCTTCCTGAATTTAGGCCAATCAACCTTTGCATAGTCCCATGTGGGCTGAGGATTGGGTTGTTCCTCTAATTAGTGTGGGCTACCTATGTATGTGAGTATAGGAAGGTGATCGCTTCATGGACTTGCCATTGGCAATGTGAGGCGAAGTTGTTGTGGCAATTGTGAGATCAATTGAACTCGACGTGTTGTGGACTTGGTCATAACGTGTGTGACTGGAGTGAGTTATGAGATTGTAGTCCTGAACCTATTTCTCTACCATTTTGCCGAATTTGCATGAGTCTTTCCTGTCTTCCCATTACATTCACCAGGGATTATCCCATTATTGCGTAATTCATTGCCATTTGCCATTTTCCTCTACTATGAATCGTTTTATAGCTTTGTTTGTTGCATGGTCTACAGGTGTGCCATTTAATTGAAAGAGGAAACTATGAAATAATTTTTAAAAATTTAAAGAACAAAGATACGGTTTTAGACTGATAATGTACAAAGTTCGTTGAGAAGTACATAAAAGAACTGAGGTACAAATTGTTAAGATTCAATTCAAATCAAGTCTCAATTGATTAAGTTACGAAATAATAAGGAGAATCATAAGGCACTTCTACACTATGTGGTGAATATGCTTAACAAGGTTCTTAAAACTATCTCTAAAATAATGACGAACGGATGATGAGCAAAGCAACATGAGGCGGGAATGGAACATTGGGTATGAGAGGTTTCAATAAATCGTGGATAGGTTTATTACAGAAGTGGTAGATTCAGTTTACATGATAACATACAATCCAGAGATCACAACTGACACATCAAGATGAGTTCAGAACAAAAGAGGTGTTAGTTTGAGTATTACTTGGAGTGAAGGGTCTGGATAAACACAAAGTGTAATAATAAGTTAACATAACATACACTGATGTGTGAAACGGTGGAAATGATGGATTAAAGGGATTTATAGGGTAAGTCAACATTATTCGGACAGATTTGGGGTCATGGTTGGATGTTTCAAGCCCCACCCTGACTATAAATAACCCGCAAGGTGGCGGTGTTTCAGTTTCGAACAATGACTGACAATGTAAACACAACCGAGTGTCGGGAGAAGTTTTTTGAAAACCATACGGGAACAAGATCGCCATTGACCGTTAAAATTCGTATCAACTTGAATGACAAACCATGGATACAACAAATGGCTCCATATCTAGATATAAGTCAATAAATTTTCTTTAGTTTTATCATAAAAAATCGAATCGATCCTGTTTGGCGTCTGCATCAATCACAGTGGGCGGAGCTTATTTACGGTTGCACTATAAATAGCAAAGCACATGGTCATGTGTACATGAGACACATTCAATGTATCTGTGGTCAAAGTGTATTGTGTTGTATATTTTTACGGCAGAACAGCAGCAGAACATCAGTTTCGGTTAATGTAACGTACAGTAACGATACTTAAATACGAAATTGACGTAATGATTCTTTTAGTTCAATCCGAAAATTACAGATATTTGTTTAGTTTTGGTCATTTGCATTTAACAGTTAGATCTGTGCCACACAATACCAGATTATATTTTTAAAACTTAAATTATTACACAGAGTTTTCAACAAGTGTTTAGGAAGGGGCCTTATTTGAAGCACAAGAAGTTGCGCCAATATTTCTCAGCTTGACTACAATAGACGAATATGTCACGCGTATCAACACAACAGTGCACATAGGCAACTGGTAAATAAGTAATGAAATATACTTCATGTTTTGACCTTCATAAGGCGTATCCAGATAATATTGTACTTACGATAAACGAAAACTCCAATACACATATTCCAAGATAACTTTAATTATGAATGTCCTTTTCCTTCACAGAATTTTCACACACAAAACTGGGTTTGATCAT